TTACGAGGTTGCTCAAGGTCGGCTTGGCTGGAGCCCAGGGGAAGAGGGGTCCCAGGGGGGGGCGTCGTATCTGACCCGGGGGGGGGGTCGACACCCCCCCCCCCTCCCGGCGGGGGAGGGATCAAAGGGAAGGGGCTTCCCTTCGACTCAATTACGAGGTTGCTCAAGGTCGGTTTGGCTGGAGCCCAGGGGAAGAGGTCTCCCAGGGAAAGGGAAGGACAGAGACGACGAGTACAAAGAATGACGGAGATGTGCTCGAGCTCGCGGACCTTGGGGTTTATTCCGCGACTCGCACTCAACTGGCTTGGATAGACCCCAAAGCATGAGAAACTCAGCTCGCGAGACTAAGGACAATGCAGGACGCCGCGTAGCGGTCCAGATCTTTCGGCACCATTGAATCGCTGGCGCCATCGCTAACCTACCACTACTGCCCCCGCATAGGGCAATCTTGGCCCTCAACGACGCGCCGCCGTGACTCGGGCCAGCGCTGTGGGCCATCAATCTCCTAAGACTGAGCCACCCCGAGGCCGCGAGACCCAAGACTTCCGCCCCAACACTACAGGCAGGGGCGACTCCTTGACGGGCAACCTTCGTGAAGGGGGTCTCTTTTGGGTCACTTAAATTGCCTTCGGAGAGCTCGAACCATCCCAAATCGTTGTTGCATTTGAGTGAAACGCCCTCGCTGTTTCAGTCGAGCACGCTGACCGTGTCTCCTAGCTCCCGCAGGCCCATCGATGCCAAGGTATGCCACGCTGGATTTGCATACGCTGGGCGGCAGCCCCAAGGATTCACAAACATCGCGAGCTAGATCTCTGGACGTCGCCATGAAGGATAGCTTATCTGGGCTGAGGCCTGCGTTGAGAGAACGGCTGGCGTCTACGAAGTGCTTCATGCTATCTATCGCCACACCTTTCGCGATATCCTAGTGGCTAGAGGAGATGTGGATTCCTGTGCCATCTATGTAGTTCTGAAAATCTACCAACGGCGCACGCTGCACAAACATATCCAAAGCGTCGGCTGCATGCACCTTGATTGCCATAACACTGTCGCCATCACCCGCTGGAAGCCCATGCCGCGCTATCAACGGTGTCGTCGCATGATGTCGCCCCAGTCGAACCGCCCGCGGGCCCATCCACATGTTGAAAACAAGCTTGAGCCAAAATGTTGGGGCTCCATGGCGCAGGAAGTTGTGATGCAGCTCCAGCAGCGGAATGTATTCATAATACTTGCTCCAGTCTGCAACAATGACCACACCATGCTTGTGCGCCACTTGGTCGCTTTCAGAACGAGCAGCCTGCAGCCACGCACAATCTACTGCCGACCGTCCTTTGCTCGCACCCCAATAGCGCCTATCCAAATCAACGTGCATCTGAGCTACTAGCGCACTAGCGGCTTCCCCGCCCGCTGCCACACGCGGTGCATCATCGCATGCAGAATGATGGGTCGGTTGCCACCTGGCGGCTTTCCCAGCAACGGCATCTGGATCCAGCATAATTGCTTCGGCAGCATTCCAATCGCCTCCGACGCAGCCACCGACATGCTGGGGGTGTCCAGACCTTCATCGTCCAACAATCAAAAGTGGCGTGGATGCAGATGTTGTCAAAACTTGTAGCCGTGGTCGCTGGAAAGGACTTGGCTGCGTCACGTATCTCGTCCGCCGTGAGCAACGGGCATATCGATCGATCAGGTGCCCAGGCGGGCAGCGCTACATCCGAGGCCTTCCAGAGCGTGCGATGTATGTCCACCTCTTGTGCCACGATGACAACTGGATCGCCTGACTGGACCCCAAGAGCTACAGCTGGAGACGGGATCGCCTTCACCTTTGTGACCCTATGCAGCGGTTTTGAGCCACCCTGCGTCGCCATCTTGCACCAATCTGTCCATGCTTGATTCCAATCTTTCAGTTGCCCTCTGACTGCACAGCTTACATCGTCTGCGATGTCATCTAGAAGCTGCTGGGTTCGATCCATGTCCATTGGCACCGTGTTGATGAGGGCTCGTGCTTGGATCACCGTGGGGTCTAATCTGGCATTGACTCCTGATCCAAGAAAAGGCTCCGAGAGAAACGAAGAGACCTCATCAGAACAACGCATCATCCCGTCATGGTCGGATTGGGCGTATAGCCTCTGGATTGTGACAATACTTTCCTGAAGCCACTGCCATCCCTGCGCAACGCTCTGCACCGCATTATAATCTAGGACATTGTTCGTTGCATCGACCCATCGCTGCTCCAGGTTCCGTGCATGCGCTCCTGAACTCTTCAGATCAATGCCCACATTCTGCGCCACATACTCCGCAACCGATACAACGTATTTCCCAGATGCACGCGACAGAAATGCCCAAGCCACATCTAAGTCACTGCTCTCATGTTGCGCCAGCTCTAGCGCACGTCTAGCCATCGCGGCGTGCAGTGACCAATCAATCGGCTGAGTCAAGGGGCCGGGCGGTGGGGTAGCAGGCAGCTTTCCCGATACCGTGTAAACATAGTGCTGGATCTGACATCCGTTGTCAACAAGGGATAGCTGGACTGGTCGATGAGCTTTCTCGTGCCACTGCATAACAGCGTGAACTCCTCTGCGCCCTCTCGCGATCGCATTGTTCAAGCAGAAAAGGTCGATCGCACTCGCGCCCGTGCCGCCTCGAAAAGTAACGTGCGACGGGACAGCTGTGACCGCGTCAGCTTGCTGAGGGAAACCAGAGTGCTCCAAGATGGAGGCGTCCATGTTCCAGTCTCCTGCGATCCGGCCAGGCCCCGAGACACCCGAGAGAATCCGCCCAGCAGCCGCAAGAATCTCCGCATTCAGGCCCACTGGGCATATCGAATCTTTCAGGGAGACGTTGAGAATGGGGATCGGCGACCAGCCTCTGATGTCTATAATCACATGCTGAAGCCGCTGTGCGCAGATGAGCTGTCCTCCTGGCGGGTGACGCAGCCGTAGATCATCGCGCGCAAAGCCGCAACACCGCCAGAAGGGATCGAGCCACTGGTGGCCCTTGCAGGTATAGCCGAACACTTCCAGCGCCTCCCAGCAGCCCAATAATGCAAAGCTTCCAGAGTGTCTTCCGTGAAGCCTATCTCCTGACACAGCACAATCATGGCATTCGACTTCGCCAATCTTGATTTCAGAGTAGCACGCCCTCCACTCGCATTGAAGGTCTCGATGCTGAACGTTCCCTGCGGTGTGGGGGTCGCCGGCTGTCGCAAAACATTACCACGTAGCCGCAGTCCTGACATGAGAGGCGTGTTACTGTCATTAGGAACAACGCTGCTTCTTGCCAAGCTCGCGCAGCTTGACTGTGAAAGCTTCAGCACCTGACTTGGCCGCTTCAATGAGCTGTTGCTGCTCGGACTCGTCCAGCTCATCACATCCTCGTTTCTGTGCTTCGCCCTGGCCATCGTCATCAGGAGCGTCAGCATGCTTACGATCATTCGCAGCATTGTCATGGTCGACTTCCATCTTGGGGGCAGGCAGGTTGCCCGCAAGAACTTCGCGAAGCTTGCCCCATAATGGCGATGCCAGAAACTGTCGTACATCATCATATTGAACGTCATCAGCCTTGAGGTCCAGAGGGTCGCGCACTCCAGCAGAGGGGTTTGCTTGTCCAGCAAGCTGCTGGGCGGCCGCACTGACCTTTGCCTGCAACGTGGTGACCTCGATTTTCTTGGCCTCCAGCGTGGCACGCTTCGTCTGGAGAGAGGTCTGGAGCTCCTCCAGCTGCCTCTCTTTCTCTGAAATGTCCGCTTCCAGCTTCTTGACCGCCGCTGATGCCTTTGCAAATCTTGCGTGGCCCTGCGGTGGGTGACCACTGGAGTCCGTAGCCCTTTCTGTCGAACTTTGATAGCATCAATCTTGGCTTGGATACTCTGCCGCAGCTCATCGGACTCGCTTCCACTCGGCAAAGATTGATGCTGGCCTCGAAACATGTAAGTTGAGCGGCCAGCTTAGATTTCTTGATATCATCACTGTCGTTTTCATTGATCTGGGAGGCCTGGGGAGGGTCCGCAGCCGCCTTCCCGGGCGGCTTGGCAGAAGCAACAGTCGACTTCCTATCTGAGTCCGGCATCGTCGCATTTGCATTATGGGGGACGGCATTCCGCAGGAGTTTCTCGATTGCCTGGAGCCGCTTGTCGACCTGGCTGTTCGTCGGTGCAGCAGCTTTGCCTGGCGACGCGCCTGGCTGTCGGCGTCCTCCACCTTTCCGAACTCCTGCAAGGCGCTCCGCCTCCGACTTCTTGTGATATTCCCAGGCAGCCTGGCGGATGCGGGCGGGCGCTGCTCGCCCACAGGCGCATCGCACACGGCAAGCCCAGTTCGCGCTCGTTTCCCCGCATCTGCTGCAGGCCCAGTAGGGCCGACGCGGCCCTCGCAGGACATCAGGGATCTCGGGAGGCGGACTCGGTCCCATGGGCCCCGCAGAGGAACCCTCGGAAAAATCGTGACAAAACTTTGGCCCGCAAGCACGAGCCGCACTGAAGACACGTGCTTGCAAGCACAGGGCGCCACCTGTGCCAGTACGGCTAGGAGGAGGAGGAGGAGGAGGAGGAGGAGGAGGAGGGGGAGGAGGAGGAGGTGGTAGAGGAGGAGGAGGAGGAGGAGGAGGAGGAGGGAAGCCAGGGGGAGAGGCGGACCCCACCTGAGGAGTTCTTCCCGGGGGTCCCCAAGTATTGTAAGTAGGAGGGGGACTCAAGCGCGCAGTTTTTTGGCCAGTGGGGGAATATAGGGGAAAAACCAGGGCTCATTTCGATTGTTTTTCGATTCGATTCGATTTCGATGGCTCCCGGTTCTGATTCGATTCGCCTTCGGAGTTCGATGTGGATTACGATTCCTCAATAGAGGCCTACTTGCTTGTCGATTTCTGCCGATTCGACTCACCCGACTTTGCAGCCGGTTTTTGCCGATTCGATTCATTTCGATTGCGGATCCGACTTATCGATACGGTTATGGGCTCTCTTGGGGGACCATCTTACATGCCTGAAGACCCTGCGCTCGACATGCCAGGGGTTGGTATTTGTTCCCGTGCGCGCTTTCTAATCGAATTAGTATTCCACGTATTGGACGGGTTTAGCCAGGTGACGAATTGCACCGCGGCCGTCATCATATGATGGTCACTGTAAGTTTATATTTGAATAATCTGATCATGCTGAATAGGTTGTACCCTATACTGCCGCTCACCTGGGAAACATACCATCTGATCATATTTGCACTGCCGCTCGCCGAGAAACTACCCATCTGATCAAAGTTACCTGTTGTTGCTCTCCGTTTCGCGTCCTTCCCATCCTCCTCCCTGCTTCTATCGTACCGCTTGCCTCCTCTTCTCATATTGATGGTTTTTCTGTGTCCCTCCTCCTCCTCCTCCCCGTCCTCGTAGCCTTCCGCATGCCCCTGCTCCTGCTCCTGTCCTTGCTCCTTTGCCTTGGCCTCCTCCTCCCCCTCCACCTCCTTCCTTCTCCCTCCACCTCTTCCTCCTGCTGCTCCTCCTCCTCCTCCTCCCTGCTCCTCCCCCTCCCTTCTTCGGCCGTAGCCGTTCTGGCTTTCGCTCACGTTCAGTCGTGGGCGGATTCGGGCGCGAGATTGCAGGGCAGACGCCAGGCACGCGGCCTCCGAATGCCCCATAAGCCGCTCAAGATCGCCCCGAGCACCCCGCTCCGCCCACCCGCTCATCTCTCCCGCTCCGCCCCCCTCCGCTGCCCATTCCCTTCCTCCTCCTTCTCCTCCTCCTCCTCTCTCCTCCTCCCTCCTCCTCCTCCTCCCCTCTCCTCCTCGTCCTCCTCCTCCTCCTCCTCCTCCTCCTCCTCCTCCTCCTCCTCCCCCTTCTCCTCCCCGTCCTCCTCCTGCTCCGGCGGTGCAGACCTCGGTCCGATAGGCCCTGCCTGAAGGGTTCCGAGAGCGCTTCAAGGGAGAAGAAGGAGTTGAAGGAGAAGCAACGCAAGAAACACAACTACAGAAAGGGCAAGAAGGCGGAGCGCTCGGAGCCCCGCGTGGTCGATTGACGCGGGTGCAGTGGAGCGACCTGTCGGTGGAGGACGACGGGTCGGAAGACCAGGACGAGCTCCTCCGCTGGTACCTGGAGCTGGGCTCTGGCGTGACCCCTGTACGCGGCGCTTGGAGCGATGGTGATGAGCAGCCACGGTTCGGCGCTGTGGATCCCCCATCGGTGCTGGCACACCCGACCGTCGCTAGTGGCGACGAGGAAGGTAATGTCATGTTGCAGTCAAGCTGTCAGTGCGAGTACGAGGTGAAGGCGAAGCAGGCGCTACCTCAAGACGTGCTGGTGCACGCTGGTGGCGTCGGGTACGAGTTCAAGGAGAAGCAGGCGGTGTTCCAAAACGTGCTTGTAAACGCAGGGGGCGCCAAGGATAAAAAGGATATGGCCGCCCAGGCTGCGCACGCGCGCGGGTGCGCGGCGCAGAAAACGAGGATGGCGGAGTTGCGGTTTGGTCACGGCGAGTTCGTGCCTCTGAGGAGCGGCATGGGTGACAAGATCAAAAAGGTCAAGTCAGTGCCTCCAGACGTGCTGGTGCATGCGGGAGGTGCCCAGACAAAAGCGAAGAACGGCAAGTTCATGGAGGAGCAGGCGGCGCCGCCCATGCTGCTCCGCAGGGGCCGTCCCCAGGGCGGCGCTCATCCCCGTGATTCTGCGGACAGGAGACACCAGGCTTCTGCCGCTTGCCCAGCCACCCTAGATTCAATGCGACGTGCGTTCGCGGGGCCCCCGCGATCCACGCGGGTCCGAAGGAGGTGCCGGGGTCAACGCAGAGGTCAGTGGAACCCTAGCAGCCAGCCGCATGGAAGTTCACGCGCGGGGAATCGAATGCCAGTGGATCTGCGCCCCCTGCTGGAGGGTTGCCCACGACGCCAAAGGACAGCCCATCCCGCAGGGCGTGGAGCTTGCCGGCTTCCTGCGTGACCTAGACGCAGTTTACCGCGCCCGAGCCCCAGGGATGAAACAACTGCCAGCGGCGCCCCAGGTCGCGCCCGCCGACGCTCGGGCACCTCTCTGGCCGCTCTTGCTGTCCCAGGAGTGAATGCGCGACCCAGACACGGCGCGCGACACCATGCCGACCCAGCGCGCCGTAGACGACAGGTTCGGTGGGAAAGCAGCGACGCAAGGGTGGAAGAGCAAATCGGGCCGCTGCCCTGACGCCGCCCCGCCTCACCAGTGGATGCGCAGACAACTGCTGCTGGGCACGTTCATCCCCAGCCCGGCGCGCCCGACCCAGCATCTCCCGGGCTGGGCCTGCCGCAGTTCAGCGACTGGGCCAGCGCCTTCCTGGGCGCGCCATGGAATTCTACTCGGTTCTGTGAGCGCCGCCCATTGACCTCTGGGGCGCACGGCCGACGGACGCGGTGCAGATTCTAACCGGGGGCGGCCCCGAGGCATGCCCAGAAGTTCCACCCGAACGACCGCGGCCCCCGCCGGCGCCTCTCCCCGTTCGCACCCGCTGCCGGCGAAGCCCCCCCAATGCGCGGGCGCGCGGGGTCAGGGCAGGATGATCCGCGCGCTCGCTGGCCCGCTCGGGGCCTTCAGAGAGATCCGGGCCCGTGACCCAAACCGAGCCAGCAGGGGCCAGCCACCCGGGAAAGCCTAGACAGCGCGCGTCGCCCTGCCGTTAGCGCGGCGCAGCCAGGGCCGCGCCGCCCCGACAGAGGGCCAGATCCCGCGGGGGCAGTGAGGGCCGGGGGAACGCCCTCGCGGGGCTGCGACCGCAGAAGCCAGCCAGCGCATTCCCAGGTAGAGCGGGGGCGGAGGCCAGGAAGCGATCCCCAGGATCGCGTGGGCCGCGGCGCCCGATCACGCGGCGAATCACCCGCCGCGCCCGCCGCTCGCAGAAGCAAGGAAGGAGGGGCCCGGAGACAGACGGACCAGCAGCCGATCAGAGGACTCGGACTGCACCCCGCCGCCAGGCCGAGGATGGCGGCGCGGCCGTGCCCCGGGAGTCGGGCCGCAGTCGTCAGACCCAGTCCAGCCCGACGCCTTCGCAGGCAGGACCTCCCAATCCAGGTCAATCGAGGGGGGCCCGGGCTCGGGCAAGTCCCTCGGCCCACCCCCAGCCGATTCTACCGTCGTCATAGAAACATTCACCGACCTCCCCGACCTGCCACTGCCGCCAGATCCCGGCGCGGCCATTGGGGGGGTGGCTGCCTTGCAACCCAGCGCGCCGATAAACCCAGACCCGAATATGGTGAAAGGCGGGCCGCGCCATTGCCCGCGCGATAGTCCAACGCGCCCGGGCACTGCGCGACAACATTGACAAGGCCTGGCGGCAGTGGGCCGGCGAGCTGCAGCAAGGACGCACCGCCCAGTGCCCCGAGGGGCACTCGCGCGTGGGCGACGCACGACTGCCAGTGCTTCCCAACCAGCATACGCGGCCCCGCGATCCCGGACCACGGAATGCTCGACCGATGTCCTCGGGGTGGAAGACGGGCCGCTTTGGCGCGCTTGGTAACTGACCTAGCTCGCCAGGCACGCTGAGCGCGCGCCATGCAGCATACTACCTGGCCGATCTTCGGACCTCCTACCTCCCGACTGACAGGCCCCGGGCAAAGACGGCCAGCGCCGCCGCATCAGGTTCCCTGCCTCGCAGGGAAGCAAGGACCTGAGGTCTCCCCTGCTGGAGCGCTGCTCTAGGTGCCGCCGCCGATCTCATCGCGAAGTCCAGTCGCAGCAAAATAAGAGGCCCGCGGGCCGAGCGTCGCAGCTCGGCCCCATCCAGAGGCCCCATGTGACGCGGCCCGCCCCCCGGAGAGGCCAGCGCCTCGGCGGGGGGCCCAGCGGCCGCGGGCCCGAGGGTCCACGCAGGCAGCCCCGCGGCCCGCGCCCCCCGCCCTGCCGTCGTAGACCGCGCAGCCGCACCGTCGCCCCCACGCGCAGTCTCTGACGTCGATTGCTCGCCCGACCCCGACGCCAAAGGCCGGGGCCCGCAGGCAAGCCCCAGATGCGAAACCCACTTCGACCATCAACCCTTGGCAGCGGACAGCAGCGCCGACGCGGCGCGCGCCCGTCAGTCAGCCCCCCAGCTTCGGCAGCGCAGACAGGCTTCGGATGGCGAGGCCGCGGGCGAGGGGGAGGCTAGCGCGCCCAGCCGCGGCGACCGCCGCGCCGTGCTGGCGGCAGAAAGGGCCGCAGAAGCCGAACCTGTTGAAGGCCGAGCACGCAGGGCGCCCAGGACGGCAGGGCAAGGACACGGTCGTCCTCATCAGACCGGGGCGGCGCGCGCTAAATCCAGGGTCGGCCATGGGGGGGGGGGGGCTTCTCATCCGCTGCGCGCCAAGACCGCGCCGGCCCAGGGGCGCCCGAGCGGCGGAGGGCCCCGCGGCCCGATCTAGGATATACCTGCCGCCCCGACCCCGCGGACGACTTCTACATCAAGTCTCGTCGGGTGATCAACAGGCGCCGCGCGTGGAACTACGGGGCCAACATGTGGGGGGCGTGGCCGGGGGATGTCGACGGGCTAACCGAGCCCCCAGTAATACATGTTCCCCCTTCGTAATCCCCTGACCTCATGTGTATGCATGTACGCATATATATATATATATATATATACATGCGCACATAATATATAATACCCCGTGCCAAAATATTGAATTGTGAAGAAGGGTGGCGAGGCCGAACCTGATAATCCCCGGGGGAAGTTGCGAACCGAAGTTGCGATCATCTCATGTTGGTTAGCAACAGTATCAAAAACGCTGAGCATGGCGATGGTGGTCTCACCATTTCAGCTTTCGGAATCACGAGCGTGTGGCAGGGCTATGGGATTCTCACCGTTTCAGTTTTACACAGCCACGAACGTGCGGCAGGGCCTCTCCCTTCTCCCCCTCCCTTCCCTGTCCCCCCGCCCCAGCCCCGAACTCGTTTATCCCGCTTTCTCTTATCTCCGGAAGGTGCCCACCATGGACACCCCCATATGCCATCAGTTTTCACACATCAAACCCAAGGCTCCGAAACCAAGAATTTTCCGAAATCAATCGTGGGGCCATCCTGCGCTCTCTTCCTTCTCCCGCCTTCTTCCTTCCTTCTAGTACGATTAATCGTATTACTACTACTAGCTAGTACTACTAGTACTACTACCGCTACTACTACTACTACTACTACTACTACTACTACTACTACTACTACTACTACTACTACTACTACTACTACTACTACTACTACTACTACTACTACTACTACTACTACTACTACTACTACTACTACTACTACTACTACTACTACTACTACTA